CCTCTTGCCCGTTTCACATTTTCAACTGCTTTTTTACTGCTAATTTATTACAGCGATTTTTCCGTTTAAAAATACTGCGCTCTATTTAAGCAGTGAGTACTTGGAATACTAGTGTAGACGACAAAACTAGACTTTTTTTATTTTATTTGCTTTCAGCCAGCCCTCTTTTTGCTTGTTTCTGAAAAATTTTATTTTAAAATAAAAAACGTTTAAATCAATCAATTGTGATACGCTCTAATAAAAGCCTCCAGACAGAACACTGAACAAAACAGCACAGAAAGCACAAATGAACTGGAGAGATTGCCTTGTCTTGCTGACGTCGTACATTGCTGTGCTTATTTTTTCCTTTTTCGCTTCTGTTTATGGTAAAACTTTTGTTTAGCTAACTTTGCAAATTTTATCACAACAAATTCTTGACCATCTTTTTCCCCAAAACAAATTTTAGGTGCAACACAAACAAAAACCGCCGCTGCCGGGTGCAACGATGGCTGGGAACCGTACAAAGACGAAAAGTGCTTCAAGCTGATTGAAAGCACCGGCACACAGTCTTTTCCCAATGCGGAGAAGACCTGCGAGATCAACGACAACTCAAAGATGATCTCCGTGCTTTCTCTTGACGAGCAAAAGTTCCTTGAAGAGTTTCTTTTTAAGCGTCAAGGCGTGGTTGATAACGTCTGGCTGGGAGCAAAAAGTGACACCTCAGTTCCAAAATATACCTTCTTTTGGGTCAATGGCGGGGCGAAATTAACTACTTTTACAAATTGGGCAGTGGGAAACCCAAAAAATCAATCTAATATCGGTGATTCCTGCGTTCAAATGCACGCCGAGGCGGAACAGCGAGGTCAGTGGAGTAATGAACCTTGTGCTCGGCGAAACCTGGTCGTCTGTGAAAAAGCTCAAAGCTGGTCAATGGAAAAGATGAGGGCAATGGTGGAGCGAGTTAGCCTAGACCACGGAACGATTCAGGAGACAGTTTCAACGCTTGTGAAGGGGCTAATTCCAATTGGTTTCATCTACACGCAGCTGCCCTTTCAAAAATCGCCCCAAGAGCTGTGGCCGTGGATGGTCTGGGCGGATGACAGTGCACAGTATGATTCAGTGTTTTTCAGAGTTTCCGGATCTAGGGCGGCTGCTTTTGGCGCCGTACAGGAGGAGTTTTCCCCCTATATTGACGAAATTCGGGCGTACAACACCAGCGCCCAAAGTTGTAAGGGCTGCAGTAGCACCGCCCGGCTGACGCCTAATGGCGGCTGGACGGAGAATCTGGTGACGGCGTACAGGTACCAGAGTGCCACTGCCCTAGATCAGCAGAATAATAAAGGAGGAGGTGATGTGGGGTTCTGGAATATTCACACTGCTGCCGGGGAGGTCAGGCCACGAAATATGGCCGTTAGGGTGTGGAGAAGGACTGCCTGAAAAAAATTGTACTTTTTATGTTAAATTAAATTTTGTGTATAATTATTAAATTATTGATAACCAAAAGTTGTTTGTGTAAAGGGTGTTTGTGATACCTAAAATAACTTATCAACTACCACTTTTGTTTGCCAAATTGAAATTAATGCGCATTTGCTAAAATGCAAGATGCGTTGTTTACTGTGATTAAAAAGAGATTTGCTTTTATCATTTCAATAATGGCAATAACATTTCTAGGAATTTTAGCAGTTTAAATACTCTTTTTTATAGTTTAATTAGTTTATCAAACTAACTAACAGGATCTTATTTATTAAAGTTTGTGTATATAAAGTTTTTTTCTTAAACATCAAATTATATTTTAACATTTTTAAAACTTTCAAAAAATGAATTGGTTAATTGTGTTTTTATTCAGTGCCTGTTTGCCACTTTCTGTTGTTTACGGTATTAAAGTTCACCCTTAATTATTTTAAATTAAAAAAATTTTATTTACTTATTAGCTGAAAACCTTTGCAGCAGTGGCTGGGAGCAGTACAAAGAAGAAAAATGCTTCAAAGTTCTGAGCCAATCTGCGACACAATCTTTTGCAAACGCCCAAAAAGCATGTTCAGCTAACAACAACTCAAAACTGATCTCTGTGCGGTCTCAAGGTGAGCAAACCTTTCTAGAGAACTACCTGTTCAGGCAAAGCTCCATCGTCGACAATGTGTGGCTGGGTGCAAAAAGTGACGACATCCTGAGAGGCAGTCCCTTCAAGTGGGAGGACGGCAGCAGCCTGACAGGTGCCTTCAGCCACTGGGCGCCGGGGAACCCAAAAACCAACTCCAGCGCCGACAACTGCCTGCAGATGCACGCAGAGGATGAACTCCGCGGGCGGTGGTCCAATGAGCCCTGCAACCGCCTCAATGCTGTCGTCTGCGAGAAGGTGCTTTCATCGCAGGCCTCAATCAGCCAGCAACAACTGGAGCAGCTGCAGGCAACGGTACACCAGCTGCAGCAGGCAGTGGTGAGCCTGCAGCACAACCCCGTTCCCCTGGGCTTCACCTACGTTCAACTGCCCAAGGAGAAGAGCCCCGAGGAGATCTGGCCCCAAACTCCCGAGCTCAAATGGGCCGACGTCAGTGAGCAGTACGGCAGTACCTTCTTTCGCGTGGCCGGCAGCAAATCAGCCTCTTTTGGCGCCGTCCAGGAGGCCTCTGCGCCGTACGTCGACCAGGTGAAGAACTCCTGGTGCCTGGGGGAGTGCAGTTACGTCAACGAGACGGTGCTGCCCCGCAACGGAGGCTGGTCGGAGTCGCTCTCCGTTGCCTACACAAAAGGCGGCGACCAGCAGTGGTACCGGGCAAAGCTCAACTTTCACGTCGCCGGCGACGGCGAGGTGCGACCGAGCAACATGGCCGTCAAGGTGTGGAAGAGGATTGCTTGATATAGTGTTGCTAATTTTTTGTGAACTAAAACTTTGTTGTCATGATTAATTTACTGCTGATGAAATTGCTTTTTTGCATTGCTATTAATAAATTGCTTCCAATAAAATGCTTTTATTTTATATTAAAATAAATGTTATAAAAGATATATTGTTTTTGATTTTGTTGAGGTTTTTCTAAACTAAATTGCAAAGTACTAAAAAATAATGAAGCCTTCAACAGGCCAACTTTTCAGCTGTTTTATTTTATCACTACTTTTTATTGTTTTCAATTTTGCTCCAGTGGTAGTGGGCGTCTGCTGTTACCCAAAACGACTCTGGTCAACCTGTCCTGACGCTGGCGACAATGACACAAACACCTACTATTGCAATGACTGTGAGGTGGGCACGCCCTACTGCGGACGAATGGACTGTAACATCTTTGGTAGGCTATTTAGTTTGTTGGCTATCAAAACAAAACCCGTTGACTAATCTTAATCTTTCCTTTTTTACTAAAAACATGCTGCAACTGTTCTTATGGCTGCCGACAATGGTGGTGAGTGACCGCAATTATAAAATTCTGAAAAGTTATTTTATTTTAAAACTTTTTTTGAATAAAAAGATTTGCGTTTTTGTCATTGTAACCCTTTAAAAATAGAATGCAAAAACTAAAGGCACAGTGCACTATCATGCTGTAAAAATCATGTAAAATGAACAACAACTGAAAAAACAAAAAATGCCGTTTTTAAATTCACGTCATTTCGAATACTACATTGGCTGTAAATGTTTTAATATTTTCAAACTATTGTTAGTAAATTTTTTTTGAAATTCTTGTTTTTGAAATTTTTCCCGCACCCAATTTTGACCCCTCTTCAGCTATCTTCAGTGCACAAAGGATGACGCAGTTGAATGGTTCAGGTATTTATTTACACTGCTGGCTTGTTTGTGCAGGAGAATGTTGTTTGTTATGTTTGAGTTGATGCTGCTGCTGCTGCTGTTGTTGTAGAGAGCTGAAGAATGTTTGCAATGTGTGGGCATTGGACATATGAATGGCAGCTCGATGCGCTTCTTGAAGAGAACAACCAGTAAACGACTGTCTGGTGAAGGTCAGCCAGTGACGTAGGGCAGGGCAGAGAAAAAAAGAAAGCATTTGTAGGGGCTGGCCCAGCCGCCACAAATAATGTAAATTATGGCATTTGTTGCTGCCAACAGGTTGTCATTAGTAAATTTTTTGCGTTGCTAAAAAATTGTTGTTTTTTTAATATAAAAGTGTGTTTTTAATTTTTTGTTTTCAATTAGTGTTAGCACAAAAAATCAATTTTTGTTGCTACAATTGCTTTTCATCAAAAAATAAAACTAAAATGAAACCAATAATGAACAACCCTTCAACAGGCCAAGTTTTCAGCTGTTTGGTCTTATCACTACTCCTGCTCACATTCACGGTGGCTCCAGAGGTGGATGGCGTCTGCTGCTACCCAACCCGATCTTGGTATGACTGCTTTAAAAGATCAGGCGGCTTTTTTACTTTGGACAAATTTTGCGATGACTGTATTCCAGGCACGCCCTACTGCGGGAAAGGGGACTGTAACATTTTTGGTAGGTTATTTTGTATTTTGTTTCTCAAAATCAAATTTATTAATAACAATTTTTTTTCTAAAAACATGCTGCGATTGCGGTTGTGGCTGCCGATGACCGGTGTGAGTGACTGCAATTATATAATTGTGAAAAATTACTTTTGTTTTTAAACATTTTTTTAAAATAAAATGATTTGCGTTATTATTATTGTGAACCTTTTAGTTGTTTGAAATAATATGAATATTTTTTGAAAATTTAAAACCTTGCAGTGTATTTGGTGAACGGTGAAAATGATTTGCTCAATTTGATTGCCACTAATTAGCAAAATAATTTATTTAGAAAACTAGGTTGCAACTGGAAAAACTGTAGATAAAATAATTTA